TCTTCACCCACTACTCTACCAAGATGGCGTGCCTGCACCCTACCATTAGAAAACAAAATAAAAGCTTTGGTTGTGATAGACACGAAATCATTAAAAAGGACCACATACAAGACTGGGATTCAGACATAAGATCTCAGGAAGATATGCTACGAGGATCTGACGTGATTACAATTGACTCAGGTCGTATCAATGGCTTGCATACAGCAGGAACTCTGTGCCTTGATAACAATTCCCATAGTTATTTTTTATCTACCCTTTGGCTCCGCTAAGAAATAGTTTCGTATTTGAAATACCTACTATTCGTTCATAATCCTAGAGGGTAAATTAGTGTTCTGTTGTTTACTATATTGAGCTTTCTTATGCTGTTGAGTACCAAGTAAAAATCAGTATTATGACTTAAATCACCGCCAACATTTCCCCGGATGTGCGGTAAGTTCTGGCATTTTCTTGCCAAGTGTTCTGGAACACATGGAACCAGTGTAACTGATATAGGTCTCTCCCCAGGTTACGTTATAAACCGGAACAGTCATCGTGTTCCCACCTATGTATACGAGTATTTCAGACTGAACACGACTATCACAGCGTTCAAAACTGACAATCTCGAAATTTTATTTCTTTCTATTAGTCACAATTTCACTTGTCTTTAAATGGTAAACATTTGTGCTAAAGAAAGTTATTTAGGCCTGCTGGTAAAATGCTGCATGGAGCTATAATTTATATACTTAACGGATTTAACTAAACATTAAATTTTGGTGTTTAATTTAATATCACATGGCACTTTAAAATTTTTGGCGTAGGCCTACGTAATAATACCTGATTGGATTCTGTCAAATTTATCTGCACATTTTACTAACCATTTTACGCTGGTAGGCAACTGTTTGTAACATGTTTATTCGCTTACACCCAAACTTCTGCACATCCAATTTTTAAATAGCTTTACGATCCCGTGTACAGGAAGGGAAATGATGCTTGTTAAACAGAGTGCGGATAATATAATTCTCTACTCAGATCTATTAAAGAAAGTAAAACAATCTGCCAAAGTAGAAATGTCGTATCATATAATACGTTCCGTTTTAAACTTCAATATTTTCTGATGTTTACAGATCGGCAAAGCGTCATTCACAAAATAAGATTTACCCACACAAATGCGTCGGTAATTGAAATCTGATTGTTACAATTAAGTAGTGATTAAGATGCAAACAATTCCACCTCATGAACAGACATAACTTCAATCAGAAGGAACAAATCTGTAAGAGCAAAATAGTTTCAGATAATATAAACTCTTAAATATACGAAGAATTGCAATTACTTAAGACTCCAATAAAAGGCAATAAGACAGCCTATGGTGGTAACGTAAAAGTAAACACGTTTTAACAGTTCTGGGGATTATAAAACACATAGTAGCAGAGAAATGTCCGAAACAAACTTTAATAATATCATATAGAATAATAGTCGTTCCAAACGTGTAACATTAACAAGATGGTGGGAATGCGTTTACTTAGAGCGATCGCAGGGTACAGAGAGACAAATCATAAAACGTAATGACGAGAGAGGAACTAGAAATTACAAACGTCGATAAGCTAAAGAGCTACAATATTCGGAAAGCATGTGTGGAGACCGACTTCAGAAGCTGCTCTGGCAATGTAAACGGACAAGCAGAAGACACCAGGGATTATCCATTTTTAATTCTGCTAACCGTGAGTTGATGACGGAATGCTCAGTTAGAGTATGCCTACACTTTCTTCACCAAGCTTGATGCCCACAGAAGTCCTTCTTGCATCGTTAAAGCTTGTCTCTCAGGAGGACTATTGGTGCGCCGCGTGTTGCTTCGTTTCTTTTGTTGTGTTTTGGTTCGGTGGCAGCAACTACAAGAGTCCGGTCTAGTCCGGTCATAGACTCTTAACTGGGACGACCTACATTTCCCATTCTCAAGACTCGCTCTCCGAGACATGCTCCCCACGCCACCTTCTGTAGCTTGCCTTCGGACAAAAAGTAAACCCTTTTTCTAACCGCTGTGCTAGTAGCTATCTATACCTTCCACTTCGGTCCTTCTGCAGCCACTGCGGTACGAAGTGTACAGCACCTTTCTTGCACGTACCATGTAGGCGAAAGAAATTAATTCTGATGAAGTGGAGAAAACGAATACAATTTTTACACGCAGCACGACTGTTCTTACCACTTTGTAATTTCAAGAGAACAGCAGCTGTTGAATGTGACATGGTACGTATATTATATGTCCTCTGCATTGCATATAAATTGCAACAAAACAATTTCGGGCATGTTTTCTTAATGTGGAACTGACCATATCACAGACCACGATTCTTTCTGAGAATGTGTCTAAACTCAAAATGTTTTGTGCCAGCTATACGTTCTTACGTGAGGCCATCTGACATTACAACTTTCCCACAAAAGCAGAACAAGAAAAGTGTTGAATGAGGTGCACAATGGACACTACGCTCGGGTAGCAATGCTAATGTAATATCTTCTTAATTCTGCAAGCAGAATCTAATGGCGGACAGATGCTTTTTTCCATAAATAAAGCAGTCGTCAAGAAAAATAAATTAAATTATTTCTCATACGAAACAATACGTACGTGTATCATGTAAAAACACTTTTCATTTTCTGTTTATGTTAAAAATAAAATATTTTTCAATATTGTTGCCAAAATAAGTGAGACTATAAGGATACAACATTCTAAATCACAAACTTAAGTTCCTTACGTTTTTAAATTTTTTATTAGTTATCATTATTCGAAGTTAAAGGCAAAATATAGTTTGAGCGTATAATTATTTTTAATACCCAAGTATATATATCAATTTAAAAACAGCTGCTTCCACCTCCCCCGACAAAGTTCTAATGTTCGACTGCTTCATTCTGTTATCCACAGTAAAGCGTTTTTGAATAAAGTGAGAAGAGAAAAGGGAATAATCAAACACACAGACAAACAGAAAACTTTATGAAAGTCTCTTCTTCCATACTCGTCGCTGTGAGAACCTGAAATCTCACAAAGGAAATTTAGATTTTGTAGTGTGAATACAAACATGTTGCAGGTCATTTGGTCACGTACTTTGCGGTCCAGACTATTCCTGGACTGACGTGTTTCTTTACGCCAATATTTCGAGGGCTGGTACTGAGCGTCGTTCTGACAGGTTCGCGCATCGTACAAACGCGACATTTGAAGAGGGCATTAAAACTGAAAATCCATCACCAAGTGGCACGATCTCAATAAGGAACTGCCAACTTGGGAGACCACAATATTACGTTCGAGTCACGGAACTGTAGTCAACTGGAGTAGACCATCCGGTCCGACCCAGCTTCCTCTCGTGTCCCGCGTGAGACTCAGAAAGGGCCCTACACAGTACATAAAATACAAAACCGGTACCTCGTAATAAATTTTAATCTGCTTATCTCCCTTAACCTTTACATTTTGATAAAGAAAACGGGATGAAATATGATTATGAATTCAAAGATAGCAATCACATAGTGAATTTAATATGCCTTTAACTTATTTATAAATGTAATTCACATTTGTTACTGCCGTGCGGAAATATTGTGCTTCTGCCACATTTCCGAAGGATTTGTTTGTTAATTTAAATATTAACTCAGTCTTGTGTTCTGGTGACGTGACATATCCATGCAGGATGAAGCTCGCTTAGTTCTCTCGGGGTTCATTTCTAGACCAACATCCACAGCAGAGGTTAACAGTGTGTTTGTAATTATTTACTGTAGACCTGTATGTGTTTTCATCCGATAAATTGGCAAAATCCATTCAATTTCAAAGTTTATGTTTAAAAGCATTAGCTATAGCACATTCCATTCTGTAAATAATTTTTAAGGCTGTTCTGAACAGAAAATGTATCGACAAATATATATACATACACGGAGTTTATTATAGATATCTTTCAAATACATTTTAAATTAATCCAGTTAACTAAACGAGTAGTGTTATATCAAAATCACTTCCTTCCTGAAACAAGGACTTAGATATCCCTGTGCTTTATTATTATATATATATATATATAATCTGATTGTCAAATTGTATTCCCATTTGTTTCCTTCGAGCTTGAGAACTAACGACCTAATTTCAATAATACTTCTGTGAAAACTATTTATAGCCCATAGAAATCCCTTAAAAGATCTTCAAAGTTGTATGATTTCCTCTCTTTTACTAAAAACATTTGTAAGCTACTTGTGGTTTTAAACGACATTTCTTCGTACTCTATAAAATTACGCTTCTTCATCTATTCTGTCATTTCCACAGATCAAGCGATTAGACAGGGTTTATTTATTACTAATCTCATTGTTTTCACTGTTTATTTATAGGTGGCATCGTCGACTGTTGGTACAGCATGGGGGCTGGAGCCTCCATGACAACACTAGAAATAATTGAGTCTGATTTATTGATGATACGCACAGCGCCATGATGAAGTGGACAGGAAGAGGCCCCGGTTCCTGATACCTACAGTTCAAAGACAGGACATTAGACAATTAGAAGGAGAAACGTTTCAAAGGACTCGTTCCTTAAGTTTCCTAATCTTTTCTTTCGGCGGTGATGGTTCATTTACCTTCTCTTCTTTATTTCTGAAGTGTTACTACTTTGGTTTGGTGGTTTTATATGGATGCTGTCTTCCTTCGTTCTGTCTATGTTTGTGAGTGTTGGAAAAATAATTACATTCCTAGCAACAGGCGTGAGTGCTCTTTTTCATCAAACATTGGACGCAACACGCGAGTGTTTTTTGCCACAGACAAATCCACGACTAGTTATCGATCTGTCTCGTCTTCTGGAGGGATTCCATCTGGGCGACTCCCACTTGGACTCGTAACATTTCCTCCTGGATCCTCCGTGGCTTTGCCCCGACCGGGCCACCGCCCGTCCGCCAAAAAGCAAACACCCTCGGACGATATCACCATCCACAACCCCCCAGCTGCAGCAGTCTGCACCGACCACTACCACCTCCAGCACAACACCCAATATTATGAAGTACTCGGGGGGCGACTCCGAGATACTGTGTGGTGGAGGACCGGTGGACACACTGCTACTCACTTCATGTTGGGGTGGCTCAGGCGGTGGCAGCGGGACGGAACACTTCCTGATGGACGCACCAGCCCACAAACTAGTCATGGATTCCTGCTCGACGACAGATGAAGATTCGGCCACCAAAGCCACTATGGATGCCTTAGATAGCTTGCTACTAACATCGTCGTCTCAAAATTCTCCGCCGGGTTCCAATTCAAGTTTTGCAGAACTGAAGCCCCTGCCTCCATTCACCGGATACACTGGGCACCTTAGTATTAATGGTATTCCTGGACATCATTTCCATGCAATTGCAGCTCCACATTCTCCGCAAAGCCCTCACAACACTGTCTCGTCACTGGTGGAGACCAATAATAATAATGCCCATGCCACCAATCATAATACGAACAGTAACGTAGTGTTTAAAACCGGCAACAATAATGGTGGCGCTACCTTATACTATACGGTTAGCACAACAGCGGATCAGTCCGTGGTATCGTCATCAACAGTTGATGGCGTTTCGGGAGGAATTAAACCAGAGTTTGTTGACTACAGTCTTCTGCCGCCAGAAATAGAAGATATAGCAGCTATTATAGGCTCAGCTATTGCAGACACTACAGTGCCGAATGTTGACGGGTTAGTAGGGTCTGGTGAGGATCCAGCGGCTTCTAGGGACAGTTGGATGGATTTGGATGCGTGGATAGATACTGCATGTGGTGAAAACAATGTGCAAAATGGTGGCAGCAGTGGCAAAGCAATAATTTCGGCAGAATCGCTACAGGAATTTGTTGCTAACTCTCAGTTTGTTGTAAGTGTCACCCCTGAAGAGTCCGGTACAACTGGACCCTCCTCGACGTTGCAGAGTCTCCTGACACAAGGCCTTCAGCAGCAGCAACAAGCCTTTACCCAGCAGGCGGCCCTGATGCTTAAGAGGGAACAGTCAACGACAACCACAACGAATTACCAACAACAACAACATCACCACATGCCCCTTCTTCACAGTCGACTTCAAAATGGGCCCCCTTCCTTATCAAATGGTGCAATTAAGCCAGAATCTTCATCGACTTACTTGTCTGAATGTCCCTCTCCGTCCTCTTCAACACCGTACCTGAGTAGCAAAGACATTATGCTCCCGCACACCACGACTGGCAGTCCTCCTGGGCACGTGGTCAGTACCACTGATAACACCCTTCTCATGAACGGAGGACGGTACCAAGGCGTGCACCAGAACAGAAATCGACCAGGGTATAGCCATATCCGCAACTTGAAAGCCGGAGTCCCGTCGCCAGATTTACTGGTGAACGGCAGTTCACTTGACAATTTAGTCACTGGAAGTGGTCTGGTACATGGGAACTACCCTCACACTACAGCTGCCACCACGACTACGCCGACACCGAGCAAGAGCAAGAGCAGAAGTAGATCGGGAAGGAAACAACACAGTGGTGGTGCAGGTGGGGGTGGGGGTGGGGCAAGTGTCGTGTATACGGCGGATGGTAGTGGTGGGATGATGGGCAAGGAGAAACCAGTTCACCGATGCACTATCTGCAACCGCGGTTTCCTGAACAAGTCGAACATAAAAGTGCATCTACGTACCCACACGGGGGAGAAGCCATTCAGGTGCGAGGTGTGTGGCAAAGCCTTCCGCCAAAAGGCGCATCTCATAAAACACCAACAAATACATAAACGGGTTGGTAGAGACTGACAGCAAACGCAACAGCACGAAGCAGAAGAAACATGTTAGTGACTAAAATGTGGGACTTTTTCTGTCCCAAGAACTTGTGTTTGTCATTAAAATTACGAAGGTAAGGTAGAGTCGATTTTGATTACGTAAGTCTGGTACTTTAGTTTAAGTTTTGATGTCTCCATCCAAAAGACTGCAATCTGCCTGCAGTTTCGGTTTGTTATATGCACAGATGACTTAAATGAATATTTAGTCTCTGAATTAGTGTTTATAATTACTTTATGAAACGAAATATGTTCATGAATTTAAAATTCAAGTTCAGCCGTGAAGCTGGACTTTTTATATTAACTGATAATTAGTATGCACAAAGCAGCGGATGATTCTTTGCAGAAAATCAATATTATTTAATATCTAAGGACTATCAGTAAACACTGAACGAAAATAAAATCGGCTTGGAGTATAGCAAAACCGCTTAATCCTAGTATGTGCCTAGACTATGCAAACATCTGCAGAATGCTACTGTACACAACCGAAGGCCTCGGAACTCACGCAGCCAGGAAGACTTCTTATTCGTAATGAATAAACATTTATACCAGAATCGGAACCTACTTTACTGTGTTCACAGTGCACATTAAAATTGCATTGTCTTACATTTTAAATGCTCACAAAAGTTATGATGATAAAATTGCAAGAAACATTACTACGAATACTATTAATCAGTAACAAAAATCTGTACGCTCTTTACATTTGAAAACGTAATTTCGTCACCGGTTTCCTCACTAGTTTCGTTTAATTTGTTTCGTCACATGTAGTTATGAGCTGAACATAAAAGCGCTTTGAAATCGTGTTACCTCACTCCCCTAGGTAATTCTTAGATTACTCGTTCAACTTCAGTAGAAACTGTGGTAAGCTTTCTTAACTGCCAGGCTACTTTAAAGCTTGAACTTATTTCACACCATCATCCAACTGATCTTTGTATTTATAATTAATAGACATGGTCTGATCAGAAAGTATTGTAAGTCACTAAAACTACGATAGGCCTTAATATACCAAGTGGGAGGGGGTGTTAATGCACTTCAGAGGAGGCTACTTCATCATGTCCACACTTGTTCCGTCTCTCCTAATAACTGAAATTAACTCACAAACTAATATTTTGGTAATATTCTTCTAGGTTTCGGCGCCGTGTAGACTCGTCGGTAGAAGCCTACGTTTCGGAGAAACGTACTGTCTGCATTTTCAGAACTGTAGATAGTCAGTGTGTTTCTCTGAAACATTGGTTTCTACCTAAAGGCTACACGGCGACAAACCAGAAGAACAATATTACCATGAGAACCTCAAATCTCACACTGTTTCCACAAGATAAAACATTTTGCCTTTCCAGATTTAAGTTTGAATAACAGAAAACAGTCACAGGGAGTTATATCGAGTGAATAAACAGGCTGTTTTATTTGTCTAATACTGTATTCAGTTAACATTTGTCGCACAAGCTTTACTGAATGTTGAAGTGCACCGACATGGCAAATTTGCCGATCCTCGTTTTCCCAATTTCGTGACTGCTTACAAAGCATGTCATTACGGATACATCTCAGAATTTTTAAACCGAACTGTTGATGTGCTGATTAATATCCTCTCCTGGTGGGGTATACTGACTATGCACAACACTCTCTTAACCAGTGCCAGCATCGACCTGGTTTTACCTCGCATTTGGCAATTTTTCAGTTGTTGCTAAAATGGGAATTTCCACGTAAATAGCTTTTATTGTATTTCGGAGTCATCAACGTAGACGTTTTATCATTTGTTATAATCCTTTCGGTAATCTTCTATCGGTTTCTTCGGGAAAGATCAGCGACCAGAGAGACTAGGCCAGAGGTCCCAGAGATCTTACGACCGACGTTTCATTCCAAGCACTGCGTCCAGTCCTCTATCCCAGTGGTATTCAACCTTTTTTGTTCGCGTACCCCGAGATATAATTTCTCTTCAACTTTGTACACCAAAGGTTGTTCGTGTATAATTCAAGTTATACATAGTATATAATCTACATCTAAAATAAATTAAATAAATTACATTACTGATTATTCAGTGTTTATCATAAAATAATATATATATATTTTTAAATTTCACGTACCCCTTGAGATGTCTTCGCGTACCCCAGGTTGAATACCACTGCTCTATCCAATGGGTATCGGGGGTTCTTTTCTCTGGGTTCAAGTGGCCAGATCATGCAACTGATTGCACTCCTCAATTTGGTGTTAATGTTGAGAATACGTGGCGCTATACCTCCACTTCCCCATCCGTCTTCATGGAGCGGAGCTTAATTACACACTGGAATATCTTTGCCAACATTCTTGCCGTAGGTTTCTGCACACTGAAGCACGTCAGAAGTCATAATAGACAAATGTTCTTTCTGTGCCTGCGCCAGTAGTCGTGGAACGAATTTGGCTGATATGCCTCACTGGAAATTCTTTGGTTAAAATGGCTTAACACGAGTTGTAATAAAACGTCACAGTTCCCGCCATTTCACGATTGAGCAATCCTCTGTCAATTCGCATTAGTCTCTGTCTCCTTACAACGACGAGAATCACCGAAAAGCTCGTGTTCGGCTCGTTGTTGCATCCGCATAAATGAGACGGTCGGACGTGGTTTCTCCTTTCCCGGGGTCTTAATGCTCCCTGCACAGGCGCGGTGCTGATTTCTGTTATCGCGCCAGGTCTTAACAGGACACGTTCATCAAGTTGCGTCCTTGAGAAGTGCGATTTATGCGAGATGTGAATTTAGTCTTGATAATTTGCGACCAGATCACGCGTACGTGTCCTAAGAAACATAGTGAATACATGGTCATTTTAAGACAAGATTACCGAAACAATTTTAGTTGTGTAAAGGAACGTATGACACATCATCATGAGGCCCGTTTACTAGATAAATTCAAATTAAATTCAGGTCCATTCCACTTTAATTCCGGATAACACGAATCATAATACGTAAGTGCCAATTTTTACTTACGTGGTTTATTTAATGACGCTGACAGTTGTTCATAGTGTACAGTGTCGGATGAGAGGACAATCAACCAACCGGAAGGGTTATGAAAGGAGCAGGTCGCAGCACAATTTTAGGCACTATCCTGGCTTTTGTCTCGAAGGCCTGAGGAAAATCACTAACACCCTTAGCTAGGTTTGTCAGTTTTCGGGCGGAAAGTTTAAAGGTTTTGGAGTTTGAATCAGTGCATACTGACATGGCATTTACAAGTGGCAGAGCACAGAATCACATAAAATGCTTTTCTTAAATTTCTTGTTACAAGATACAGAGGCCCTACGTAGTTACAGTGTAAAGGGCCATTGACGGTTTAAAACATTTGTCACGTTTCGTTTAATTATAAATTATAATGTAGGCGTACTCCGTCTTAACAGTTTAACCACACTACCTTTATAATGACAACATTGTATCTGTATTTGTATGGCGTGAAAATAAGCGTAGAGGTTAACACAACACAAGCTATTCATATCATCTATAAATAAGTCATGAAAAGTAAGAAAGAAAGCATTAGGTTAATATACTTCGTAACATTTAACGGCTAAGCGTTCTTTTAGTTGAGTAATTGCGAATTAGACAACACATGAACTAAGGAGCGCAAGCACTTAGTGCATTTATCGTCGTCAGTCAAACGAGCAATTGCTCAGACCGTCTGTGTCACAGTTCTTCGATTTATCTGTTTGCTGAAAGAAGGAAATTTGACGAGTCCAACTTTCAATAACTTTGATTTCACGAAACAAAAAGCTTATGAACTTTTAAAGATTTCTCTTTTATCAATTTGACAATGAAGCCGAAAATATTTACCCAAACAAACACACAAAGAAGTGTCACTCTGGAGCTATGCTCTTTTCTTCCTTACATAATTTACTAAAACGATCTTCAAAGCAAGGAACTGTACTCAGTCCTGACACATAATAAGCTTCTGTTTACATGTAGCCATATAAACGGGTAACAATGCACATAGTAAGGCGAATGCACAAAACTGTTCAGTGGTTCAAAATATCGGAGGAGTGGATTAAGGATTCCATATAATGATACTGTAAAGCAATAAGCGGTGACGTCACGGCTGGGCGAAGAGCCCAGAAAGTGAAACGTAATGTCAGATACATGCTTACATGAATTTTTATGAATAAGAAGTATTTTAATATTGTAAATGGGGCAATGAACGTACTATATCTCAGTTAATACTGGAATGGATCTCTAATAATTCAGACTCAGATTCATATTCACAGATGACATGTCACTCGTTTAGACACAACAATTGACTATGAGTGAATTCTTGTCTGTGAATACAATTTGATACGTTAAATATACGATACAAAATACATACTTTGTACTTCATGAAATATATTGAAGTTTTATGAATATAAATGTGATATCATTGCTTTTATTTCCTTTCAAAAATATCTGCACGAAGTATTACAAATTGAAAACAAATACGAAGTTTGTATTTTGTTGTTATTAAGCATTGTAAGTAAGTACACAGACAAGTGTGGCGGTATTACAAAATATCAGTTATCTATAATATTTCAGATAATCATATCGTGTACAACAACATTATCGTTCTGTTTCTTTGAAGACGATGATGTGAGTTTCACGCAATCTCAGGTTGACCAAAGACGAACAAATATCTGCAACACCGATTACATCGTCATAATTCCTATCGTAAAGGTCCTTACTTGTATTGTAATAGATATTTAAAGTTTCATGTGAACAGTACTAGAACAAATCGCTTATAATTCGTTGTCGTGGCTCTGATTCACATTCAACTGTCCCTACAAAGTACTGACCATTAATTTTAGTTTTTTTATTTATATGGCTTTACCTCCATCTATTTACGAGGTCACGAATATGTGTAGCTATTCCTCTACTTCCCCATACGCCAGCATGTCATCAGGGATAAATTTACCTTTAAATTGTTTCAAATGATAAATGTGTATAAAACTAAATATAAATCTGCATCACTAATTCGTAAAGTGGCCTCAATCAAAATCAGTTACGCAGAATTTTTTATATAATTAATGTGACTTAAATTTACCCTCTTTCAAATTCTCTATCAAACAAAACCTCCACATTTTGCTGTGTGTGACATAGCACGACGACACAACTTAAACACGCCATATTAACTTACTGACGTATTACAACTAAAGATGGAGGAAATCACATTATACTAAAATCTAAACTTAAATGTATGAAGAGGAAATATTCTCTAAAAATCTGTAAATCTCTGTTCAGGTCTCGTTCGTTTCAAAAAGGATGCAGTGAGAACGAAACTTAGAATTTTGATGGCGTTTTATCGGCTTACTTATTAATCGTACTGCCAATTTCAAATACGTCCGCGCACTGAATTTGTCGGCCTTTAGTAGTTGCTATACAACTGATCAAACGATAAAAGGGATTTTTAACAATATATACATAAACACACAATTATCCTTAACATTTAGGAATAATTTCAAAGGCTATTTTATAACGAGAACATCCCTCAAGTTTAAATCACTGCTCGGTAAAGTAAGCAAAACGATTTTTTTTTATTTTAGCACGATCTCGTATTTTAAGGTGTGAGGTTCACAGAATTGGAAATTATTAGACTATTATTAATATAAGATAGAGAGTTTTCATTTACGGCTAAATGGACTCTTTACTTTGTAAACTAACTAATATAAAAACGCTATACTCATGGTTATCTGATCGAAACTGAATTGGAGACCACGATAACGGACTACCAAAATAGTAATTACTTTCAACAGCAAAAAACACAAACAATGAAATTCATAAAATGTATATATCATAAAAATACTTTAATTTATGTTTGTTGTATAGGTGTCACCTACGTATACCTTAGTTACTATACATATTTGTTAGCCTTTAGATGGTCGCTTTCAATGTATGTTGTATAAAAGCGGAAACAAATACAACGAATGTCATTTTCATAGTGAATTATATTACGCACATTTTTTAGAAATAGATATGTGACATGAACATTAAAAAAGAAGCAGATGTGGTTAAAGATCGTTCTGAAATTTTCTGCTCTAAGCCTTATTTAAATAACGACAGCCAGGCTGCGATTTTTAAATAGGGCCATTTTAAATGGCCACGTTCTTGAATATTGGTGAGAATATTTGTATACTCTATGCTGTATGCTTCCAAGGTGCGATTATTAGTTTGCATTGGGCATGTAATAATTACGATGCTGTGAAAATGCAACTAGATCTAACATAAATATTAGTCATTCGTAAGTAACTGCTCTGCCGGTAGCATGCTACTGAACACAAGAAATACGTGAATAGCTTAAGTCATTTTAATATGTCCTTCGTTTTGAAGTTTGATTCCATGAGCCTAAATTTAAGTAATATTTTAGTTCTTTTCAATGCCACGACTTCCTGCATTACATTAGTTTGATTTGTGTGTTGGTTATTTGGCGATTTTACCTTACATTTTATAACTTTCCGAAGCATAACTTTAAACAAGCATTTTTACAGAAGACGTAGTTATGTCGAACTTCTTCCTTAAGGAAATGCGATAAAATTATAAAACAGCACAAATTAGAATGATAGACGGCAAATAAAAACATTGAAAAATTATCAACAGATACCACAATAAAAATTGATGTCGAAAACATAGATTTATTAAAAGTCAATTTGTTGCTGTCACAACATTATTTATGCTGTTCGTGCTTAGAGTAATTTTATTATTGTAGTGAAGGTTCGCGGGGACGTTTTTATAACACTGTCCAAGAATGTCATATTAATGTCATTTAACACATACAAAACATTAAGAAATGAACTTTGCTTTTATCCCCACTTAATAACGATTGTTATGAAATATTTTAAATTACAATAATATGTGTTATTCTTAAACGGAATTTCATAAATAAAAAATACGATATTTAAGTGATCTGACATGACATGAGAAGTTACACTGGTGTAATTTTGTTCGGCAACTATATATATTTTTTTTTTACGTGAAAGTCCGAAGTGACAGCCAAAAGTGACTTACACATTTACATTGTTTAAATTTCTCACCTATATATACTCGTTAATACTTACTCCGATCACTATGACGTTTCATCATATTTCATTGTATAAATTGTGTTCCATTATTGCGTAAATATGTAAGTTTTGTAAACTGAAAACTAATGTGTCACTATTACAGATTTACTGTGTTATGTCTTGTATTTGTTTGTAGTTGATCATCTGTAAATTTTAATTAGATATATAATATTTGAGTACAAGATTGATTGTGTTCTATTTCCCAACTCCAGTTCCTCCTCTATATGATATTTTATTCTTTAAAGTAGGACATCATTCTGGATTGATTTGGGTTAATTAAGAGAGACGGAGTCGCCTTGCAGTAACCGAGGTATCCTTCTCATCGCGAGGACCCGGGTTCAGTTCCGTGTGACTTCAAGAGAGTTTCGTGGTGGACGAACTGACACTGGAACAGGGTTTTACTCCCCCTTCCTAACCATCACCCCGCAACTTCTCCATTCTCATATATCACCACTCCTTGAGTTATGCGATAATCCTGACCGGGTAGTAGGCTCCCGGTCTTAATTTGGGGGATGAACTCCGACCCAAGAATTGGCTGGCCTCGGAGTGAAGGTAGTTTCAGAGACAGACAGCAAGGATCTTTAGCTTTATGTGAAACTGTATGATTAATTTCGAAAGGATGAAGGTGTTCCGACTAGAAGTCCCAAAGCCAAATTTATTGCACACATTTATAGTCCTTCAGATCTTAGATACTTAATGTTAAATGTACGTATTTCAAGTTTACGGTCGAACAGTACAATGCGGTTTATCTTGGGTTTTGATGCTGGACTCGTTCTTAGATGGAGGGCACAGTCGAAATCTACCTTGGTAACATTTGTAGTGCTGCTTACAACTGTAAATACTGTATGCTACAGAAGTTTTATCGCTTTATTTAATTTTGGGGTATACTTCTCTTAGTACACATTGTGTGTACGCTGAACTTTAAGGATATAACCTCAGAGATTAAACACAATCCTGATATAAGTGACTTCCGTCTTAGAAATAATATTTCATACAAATATGGAACAATTTAGTTATTTATTAATCGCATATTTCGAAAGAAGGAATTGCTTCAGTTTGTTTTCATCTTAAAATCAAGGTTCTCCTCTCATTAATAAAACTGAACAATAAATACGGATACGAATAAATAAACAACAAGGAATTTCGAAAGAGAAAAGCTTAGAAACTGAATGTATGTAACATTCTGTGTTCTCACTAGAACTGTAAATGAAAACAAGAGAACCACGATAAAAATACTTTACATGACCTTTCGCGAAATCTCCCTATACCGAATTTTGCGTACCGGGACAAAAAGTGACAATTAAACGACGCAAGTAACAGACAAGTTCGGTTTTCATATCTCGTGGGAAGAAGTTTGTATCTTTCTTTCCTACATACCTCTGGTAAGTTCAAAGCCCATCAAATAAAAGAGACTACACAAAGCATGACGCCCCTTTCCTCTGTATATAACAAGTTTATTATTTTATATCGTAGTTTATAGTTGGATATTCGTTATAATTTCTTGGACGGGGAATCGGCCTTTACAGAACCAATGTATCCCTGTAAGGCGCTACGCTCCGGGTGCAGAGACTCGAAGGCATCACCACATCAGTTCCTGAAAAGTAAGTACCCCCCTCAAACGTAGCCTGAAGAAAGAGTCTGTATTGGCTCTCCTTCATTCAATCACTAATCATTCGAGCAACCACTGTCAGTGTCTCCGAACAAGGTAAATAACATTCTGCCAATGTACGAGTCTAGTAGGAATTGGAAAACATTCGCGGAATGAAGTCATGGCGTTAAGCAGTAAAGCTAGCTTTCTTATTTTATGTGCAGTTCTAAAGACACACTTCAGAATACAGGATATTTGAAGTATTTAGTATCTGTTTGTACTTTGAGTTTTCTATATTAAATAGTTTTTAATAATAACTTATTTTATTGACTTAATAGGTACATCTGTACCGTGAGCCTGTGTTTAAAATTACATTCGAGGAGAGTAGATTGACAATGTATTTAATTTCATGATATTGTCATTTTTATTCTGTGTAGCAAAATAGAATTAAAAACTATTTACGAAACTATGTTCCATTTGTTTCAGTCTTTCAAGAATAAAACACGCTCTGAGTTCGTGCAGTTCACCTTTAATGAACACATCAGAAAAATGTCTCAACATTCCCTTTCAAACTAGACAATATTTTTTCTTTCAATTCCCTCTGCTTTATGAAATATATATTCTTATTTACTGTGTTTCTATGTTATAACTGCATATTCCATTCTGTCTAAAGAAGAAGAAAAGAAACAAGAACTTTGCCTTTTATGATAACAGACAAAAAAGTGTCAAGTGTGTTGTTATGTTACAGGAAATTATTGGAGCACATCGCCCAACACAAAAAAAAGCGACTTTTTGTTTTTACACTGTCGACAAATTACTTTAAAGCCCAATTAAAATTGAAGCACTTCGTTTCACAGTAGCTTTGTATATGACTTTTTTAACTTCATGCACAGAATGCAGTAAGAAATGGGAAGATATGCGAATTAATACCGAAGACTTACTAATTTTGTTTCTACATTTCCAAAATAACATAACACACAGGTGTATGCAGTCAAGCACAGATGTTGAAAATGTATTTAAAGTTATTGCTATTAAAAGATATCTTATTTGACAAAGAGGATTATGTATATTTTTTCCGTGGTTTTTGCAGCGTTGATGAGGGCATAACAAGCAACTTCACGGTTTGTACTGTTCATTGGTCAAATCAAAAGAAGGAAGAGATGAATGGAGAATGCAGCACGCATGGGAGAAAACATATACAATTGTAAACGGGAAACCTGTCAAGGAGAGGCCACTGAGACCAGACGCAGATAGGAAGATAAAATTAAAAAAATATTCATGAAGGAAAACAGAGTAAGGATCTGGAACGGATTCATGTGGCTCAGGAAAGTGCCCGTTGGCTGACTCTTGTGAACATGATACTGAAATGTCTCGTTCTATAAAGGATGCACCCAACCTTTTGAAAATGTAACTATAATTCCGAATTACCAATGTAATTAAAATCAAATGAAACTTCTGTGCGTTCAACCGAAATCAGAAATACCTTCAAAATAATTTATTCTTGTAGATGCATAAACATTATTTACTAATATTACTGTCGTACTTGTGCTGTCTCCTCGCAACAGATGGCCTGCAGAGTAGAAACATCAACATATAATTCTGTCTGAATTTTGCTGCGCTCGTGATTTGCAGTGCTGAGAAGTAGGTTAAGAGGCAGGCGGCTATCAAGTTGAGTGGGCATGGAGTATGCTGGTGGTAGACGACGAGCTCAACTAGTCATGAGTGAACACGGATATAAGGAACTCTCAGCAAAACAAAGAACACACAAGTATAGAATGCTCAAGAATAAACGACACTACTCATCAACGAATGTCCAAATTGTGGAAGCAGGCGTAATAAACGTCTTGCTGGATGATAATGAAAGACTAGTGTAACGACGTTTAAATAAACATTATCCACCGTTTAGTTTACCCACATCTTCACTGTGGAAGAAAGTGTCACTCAATCTGCGTAGGAATTCACGTGTCCTACTTACGATTCTCCGAAAATCTAGTTAACGTTTGTTTCGAAATAATTTACAGTTAGTTGACCAAAATATTCTACATTGTTTTTATTTATTGTCTTTATGCAGTAGAACTTATAATGGTTAAATTAAAATGGCATCCCATACCAAGCAGAGCTAAAAATAAAACATGATAAATATTTCTGTCTACCCACATTTACATGTAAAAGCACTAAAAATATGTAAAATAAATTTACTACAGAAACAGTTTTTCGCAATCTTTAGAGCATAGTAAGTTTAATTAATCCTTTCTTACTGATGTTTACTCCGAGTCAAGTGACATATTTCAATAAAAGTATTGTCAAATAAAAATTCAATAACAAAAGTAAGACTCAGCAAAATACTGAAATAAAATTAGTTGTTACAAAGTAACACAATCATAATAAAATATTATTGCAAGAAATTACTTTTAATGCCATTTTTGGGGGTGATGCTATACTTACATCGTTCTCTGAAGGTCCGAAGTCGGCAAAACCTGCCCAGGTAAGGGTGAGTGAAAACAGGACCCCGGACCTTCAGATTACGATGAACTTTCAAAAAATCTAGAGTCCCTAAGAAATTAACAAGATTGTGTCTACTGCAACACAAAATCACCAGAACAGCTTGTGTGCAGCTACACTTCGAAACATCTTATAGTCGGCAGGAAGGTGAGAGAGACAAGAAGAGAGCTGGAAGTGGCACACTGATCTACATAGCCAAGTCACATCGACATCCACAAGTAGTTGCATATAGTTAGTAGTGGCAACAACCCGCAGCATTGCCTGTCAACTCTCAGACCCACATTTCAAATCTACTGGAACAGCAGACACTGAATGTCACCGCTATTGTGCGGGCCGCATTGCGTTGATAAGCGGACGACAGGAACTGTTATTTTTACTTTTCAAAACATTGTATTCACATTTTATTTAAGTTACTGCATCATTCGTTTTATGCCTTTTTGAGAAATGCATTTAATATAATGATAAATACAATTTCTTTATAACTGAGTCAGTTAATTTGTTGCTATCAAATTAGCATCATAATTCCTTCAGTAGTTCATAGTTACTAGCCTGATCAGAAATTACCAGTTTCGTATATAACCCGACGTACTGTCACTGTGATGTGATCAGTAACTCTTCCTATTCAAACTTAATTAGAGTCAACTTCGTCCACAGCCCATTTATTTGTAATTAGTTGCAGTACTGTCCTTCCACATGTTCCTAGGTTTCTGAGGTCGTCTCCATTGAGACTTCAAAGCCACTGTATTATTATTTCATTGCAAATTAAAGTTACTAGTAGGCCTATATATTTAATCTTCGAACATTATAAATATCTGCAACGTAGGCATCTAGTACCTCTTAACATCAAGAAGGACGAAATAAGAGTGTTTATTTTTATATCTTGGTAACAGTACAATTCTATTTTAACGCATTATTTTCCCTTCCATGTCCTCTTATCCACAACAGACAGGCCTACTAAACCTTTGTTGCGTTATAAACTACATGCAGATTTACCTGCGAGTCACAGCGATACGAAAGTCAGGTTTATTAACATCCGTACATACAAACCTACATCTCATTAATTCGGTCATACGAATGCAGATTAACACGTACGTAGCCTGCAGTCAGTCTTGCAGCTCGCTGTGATAGTGACAAAATCGACTCAGCTGTACAGATTCTTTTTGGAAACGCGCTTAAAGAAAAGTAAACCGAAGAAATCAATCCCATGAACCACTAAAGACCACGAGAAATAAACCTTCAGAAAAGTCTTCTGCCTCTTGTTAACTTTTTTGAAATAAATTTTTCCTCAAGGACCACCACCACCACTTGGAACAAGTCAAGCAATGTCAACATTCAAGTAAGCATTAATTAAAGAGATGTTTATTTATCAGATTAACTGCTATTCTGCTTTCTTTCATCACTGTGAGTTAGCATAAGAAGCTAGCCACAATTTATTTTAAAGCATTTACGGAGATTCAAATATTTAAAATCAACCCATGATTGCCTGTGTGCTTACGTAGTAAATATACGTGTTCCCTTATTAACGCCAACTTCGTTATTACACGAGTCACTCAGAAGTGTTTTATGAGCCGGGATAGCTCAGTCAGTATAGTGACTAGCTACGGGCTGGACGACCGGGGTTCGATCCCCGACGGGGGCAGAGGATTTTTCCTCTAGCATCTGCGTTCCCGGGGGTAAAGCCGGCCGGGGCGTGATGCTGACCGCTCACCCCCATCTAGTGCCGAGGTCAAGGAAGAGAGGAGCTATACCTCCACTCACCCCAAACGCCTACATGGCGTATAGTGGGACAGCTTTACTTTATTTACCCAGAAGTGTTTAGAACTGAAATCTAGGAGACAACGGGCTGGTCACGTTGTTAGGTTTGGACAGAAAAAAAGAATGAGTACAAAATTTCGATGTGGAAAATCGTGTTTGATAACGTCCACCTGAAAGAACTAGATGAGAAGATAAAATCAGATGGATAAAAAATGGTGTAAGCTTCAGAGATAGCTGAAACTGGCTTAGGATTATGTACAATGGCGTGCTTTGTTATAAGCAGTGTTGAACCTTCGGATTCTACTACCATATCTCGGCTACGTACACAACCAGATAATTCTCAATTTATATTTAAATAATCTGTAAAAATAGTCGAGGGTGGATACAATATAGACCAGCGGTTCTCAATCCAATGCGTTTTGTGTAGACAGCGTGCTGTTTTATAATACGGTTAAATATTCAGTTTTAAGGAAATAGTTAATAACAGTAAAGAAGAAATCTGCAGAAAATTGACGAATGTGCGAACTCGTTTGAGATAATCATTAAGCAGCATAAACCGCCTTTAAATTTCAATAAATTGTCTTTAATTACAAATCACCAGCTCGCGAATAATACGAAAGACCGAATAAGACCGCAAGGTTTTAAGAGGTTTAGAACCCATGATATGGATAATTTAAAATACATTTTTTGTAGCCTACGTACACATAAAATATATTTTATCTCACCTCGGACATTCTTATCAAAACACACGTAATGCTCTGTGAAAAAGATACAAATTACAGCAAGGTGAAGAAAAATAAAACGAAGTAGCTCAGGTGTGTCGGCATGATGTGATGAAAACTGCAGACAAAAGCGGGAGCAAGACAGATACGAGAAGGGAACTACGTACGCTGAGTTTAACAGTACGGAGAAACTTTCACTACTCTATTGGAATAACGGCAATTTGCGGCAGTAAACAGTCACACACACGCATGCAGACAAACTGACTTATCATGACACGCATATCAAGAAACAGTCTTATGTTGTTTCTAGGTGAGGGGTGGCCAGTTCGCAAACGATTTAGTAATGATCATTTCCATTTGCTCATAAAAATAAAAATACGACCTTTTTTTGTTATGTGTTACTGTTTATGTGATTTTTAATCCGCTTACAAACATGTTATGTTGATGGGTACCGTAGCAGACCATTAAGAGAGAAGAAACAGACCCTAAAATGCGTAATACAAATTTAAGTGTATGACAAAATCACGCACAATCTCTGCTGACAACATTAATTTCCTATGAACAAGCTTCATAATGACTTCTGGAATAATGCATTGAGAAGCGATTAAAAGATTATTTATAATATTCTTCTGTTCGATTGACAAAGTAAATTAATAATCTAACTCCGTTTTACAGGAAACTAAATAAGCCACGTTCATGCCTCGTCACTAGAATGCAGGACAGATATTAAAGTATAGGCCTAATGATACATAATAAGTAATCTCCAAATTTAACAACTCCCCGGTATTTGTAAACGACTGTAACCAATCACATTCACGGATAACTTAAGGACAGATTAAAATACACAAATTATAATTTTATCAGTTCTTTCGTATCGACGTGAAGACTTGTCAAATCTGAAACAAAATACTAAGGATATTTGGAACCAATAGAAAAACAGAAAGGGAAGAAGGCAGGCAAATACACAATGACGGGCTTCATGATATATATTCTTCGCTAAATATTTTCAGGATGATAAACTTAATTAAGATTAGGTGGATGAGGCAGGCAGCATGCATGGAGAGCTGAGAAATTCCTACAAAATTTGCGGGAGAAAGTCCGTGAAGGAAGAGATCTCTTCGAGTTCTAGGCGAAGACGAAAGGATAACACCTCATGTCAAAGCAGATCTCAGACAAATGGGATATTACCATATGGATTGGATTCAACTTGCATAGGATAGGGCGTAATGACGGGATCTTGTGAACACTATACTAAACTTTCAGGTCCCATAAAAAGCGCGGAATTTCTTAACGAGCTAAGAGATTGTCAGCTTTTCAATATGGACTAAGACATCGCAGGAGACAATCATCTTCGTATGTTTCTCAGAAAAGTTGGCATTCAGTTTACCTTCGAGTTCAAAAGTTTAACTTTATTTTCTTTATTTCATAATCACAGCATGACAATCAGAAAAATTGTAAAAACAGCCTCATTGCTAAA